TCATCATCATCATCATCATCATCACCCATCTACCCGTGCAACCCCCCCCCATTTTAACTGTACCTACTACCCTACCACCCAATCAATAGTAGATAGAATGGCACCGCCATCGATTTACATCAAAACTCATTTATTCCTTTATCTATTTTTGTTTTACTATATTTTTTCTAGAATCCATTTTGAATTTTTTGTAAATTTAAAACTACTCAATTAACTATCTTTCTCGACATTTCTTTCTCAAAACTTCAGTCAAAAGCATACTTGCGGCTCATCGACATGCGCTGCACCCCGCACACGCGCCACACCGCGCACCACGCACGACACGCGTGCGACGCATCCCGAAAATAAGGGGTCGACGAACAAAAAAAAAAGTTGCCGAGGGGTGTTCTAGGCCCAGGTGGGATGTCGCATCGCGAACCACAAAAAAAAAAAAAAAAACAATTTGAGGCCGCGCGGGGCCTCGGAAAAAAAAAGGGGGGGCAGCTGAAGTTAGTTTGTTTTTGAAGTTTTGAATTCGGAATGCTGCCCCTCGCTGCCTGGATGAACTCCGGTACTCCAGCTTTGTGCCCTTCGCGCCCGCTGTGCGTTGCCCGTCGCATGGTTGCCTCCACGTCTCCTGTGCAGCAGCAGCAGTCGAAGGCGTCGTCGTCCAGCCATAGCCAGGGCACAACAGTCATCATGAAGGAGCCGAAGAAGCAGCGGGAGGAGCGCGGCCTCAGCTCGTAAAGTTGCCAGGTGGGTACCCACCAGCCCCTCTCTCTCTCCCCTCTCTCTCTCTCTCTCTCTCTCTCTCTCTCTCTCTCTCCCGACTTGTTCCTCTGCTTCCCACCATCCCGCCTTTGTCTTTTCTCCCACCATCTCCCACCTTCGGCTTTCTCCCACCATCCCGCCTTCGGCTTTTCTCCCACCATCACGCCTTCGACTTTTCTCCCGCCATCTCCCACCTTTGGCTTCTCTCTCTCTCTCTCTCTCTCTCTCTGTTACATGCCCAGTTGGGCGATGTACATAGAAACCGAGGATCCGCAATGTGATGAAAAGGACTGAATGGACAATGCAGTGCAAGTAGAATCTCAACAAGCAATGTGCATTCTAATACATACAAAATGGTGCTGAATAGCGCAGGGAAGACTTAAATACAAATCCTGACCTGACTGGGACTGACCTCATTCACATAGTATCAGATAGCGAAACAGAATGCTAGAATGCTAATGACTAGCCCAATCAATGTTTGAACGCAGACCAAACATACATCGTATCCATCACTAGGTGTGAAGGAGCCTGGCGCTGTACACAGGAAGAAAGCGCCAGGTCCAGACATACACTGACGAAGAGGAGGGGATCAGACGAAAGGAGGAAGAGAGATGGGAATGTCATCAACACCAAGTCTTTGTCACAAGTCCCAAATAATCCCTCGTCGAAATGTCTGAAGCCCAAAAGTCGAGTCTGGATCCAATGTCACCAAGCTCTCTCTCTCACTCTTCTCTCGTAGTGTGCAGATGCAGTGAAGTCAGATAAGGAGAGGGTGAGAGGGAGATGGTGGACTGAGAAGAGGAAGAAGAAGAACTCTCTCTCTGTCACGAGCCAGATACTAACCTGTGATGTTGGCGCTGTGCTGCAAGTACCTCGAAGACGAAGCTGGAGCAACGGCGCTGCAGGTAAGTACCTCTGGCCTCCGCCCAATCTCTCTCTCTCTCTAGTGCTATCCTAGCTATGGCGCCCAACGCTGGAGACTACAGCTCCCTACTGCGCCCAGTGCTGAAGACTAAGGCTAACGCTACTACTACTCCTGCAGCGCTCCCTCCAGAGTGCTGCTGCCGAATCCTGAAGACTACTACTGCCTCCTGCCTACCCGTGAACTGCATGGGAAGTCCCTATGTACTACCTCGGCCTGCCTCCTGACTGCCTGAAKGGCGAGCCAGGCCGAGGAGGCTGCTCTTGCCAATGCCGAAGTGTGCCAGGGGCTGGCGCTGCAGCAGCTGCTGAGGCTGGCGTGGGAACAAGCTAAGAATAGCCTGTTCCCGAAACCCTGGTTAGGTGCTTGAGTTTCAGGGCTGGTTGTTCTGATGAACGACCGAAAATGGCCCTTCGTTTCAGGCTAAAAAGGCTATTGCCATTTTTAGTCTGAAACGACACAGGGACTGTAGGCCCCTGTTTTCAGGCTTTGGGGCTGAACAGTCACGGGGCCTGTAGGCCCTGGTTTTCAGGCTTTCAGCCTGAGGGACGCAGGGCCTGGAAAATGGCCCTCGAGTGCAGGCGCAGCATGTAACTCTCTCTCTCTCTC